ACTATCTCCTGATTAGTGTCAAGCAAGAAGAAAAAGGGCCCTCTAGACCGCATCATTCCCAGACACCAGTCCATGCCTTAAATATCCTATTTGAATGTCTTCCTTGGTCACCTCTTTGCCATCATCCCTGTGATTTCCCAATGGAAAAAAAAAAAGTTCCCTGACTGCCACTTCTTTATATATGCTATAGCCTTCTACTAGCTCCCTGAGGAAAGGAATTATTTTGCTTTTTCTATTTGTATCCCCAGAATTTAGCATGTAGTAAGCACCTATTTTTTTCTCTCCTCACTGCCCCTCCCGACCAATTTCCACATTCCTGGCAGCAGCAGGAGCATGCATTGTCTAGGTCAACCTGCAACTAGAAGTCGAGCTTTTTGCTACCTCTTGAGCTTTGTATTTCTTCCCCTGAGTATAGGTGACTGAGTAATAATGAGATAGATGTCTCTAACCTTGACACCAACCTTGTATCGAAAGTCCTTGGAACAGGATTCTGGTTGTCTAGCAGGAGGGAAGGTCTGAAACAATTTCTCAGAGAAATTGGTGACCACTGCCAGGAGGATGAGCCCAAGCCATGTCCTACCTTGCCAGAAGATATGGATTTTGAGTGAGTTGCTTAGATACTACAGATCTGAGGTGAAGATGGGATTCCCGTTTAGAAATTCCACAAAATGGGTTTTTTAATATCAATAATCTTCTAGGAAGGTGTTAGCTAAATGGGGGTCCCAGAGAGTCAGACACAACCAAAAACAACTCATCAGCAGCAAATGTCACACTTTCAGTATTTATTAATTCATGCTTAGAGTTTTCTGTGGTTTTAAATGTATTTTGTGGTGAAGAAAACTAATATCTTTCTGACACTTGATCTAATTTATATTTTGAGTATCTTTCTAGAAGAAAAAATTAGTTCTTTTCGGGTAAACACTAGACACAAGCTATTTCTAAGTTTTGTTTTACAGATATTTTGGGGTAGGGTTATAATGTGCCAGAGAAGGTGGCCTTGGAAAGCCTGATTAGTCTCCCTCAGAGAGTTACTTCATCCTTCTCAAGTTCTTCAGTGCTGAGAAGAACCCATCTCTTGGTGCAGCTAGGTGGTGCAGTGGATAGAGCAGTGGCCCTGGAGTCAGAAGGACCTGAGTTCAAACCCAGCCTCAGGTACTTGACACTAGCTGTGTGACTTCAGGCAAGTCACTGGACCCCAATTGCCTTAAAAAAAAAAAACATGTCTCTCCAAAAGTGGATTAAGATCCAACAGAGAAGGGAGGCTCCTCTTATTCCTCCCATTATGCCAGCTTGTGATCTATTGGTGAGATTTCAAAGGTCAACTCTACTCTCTGATAAGGTGTCAAGATAGGACTTTAGCAGTTTGCAAAAAAAACAAAACTTCATGTGATTTAAAAAAAAAACAACCATCCAGTTATTTCCCCCTCCTCTGCCTTCCTCATTCACACAAAACACAAAGTGGAAGGGGTAGAATAGATGAATAGTAAGTTAGGAGAATGTCTGAGATGATCTTATGAGGCAAAAGCAAGGTAAGAATGCAATGCCCATGGATATTTCTGATGAAAGCTTGAGCAATTATGGCAATACTTAGGAAAGGACTCATTTTACAAAAGAATTTCTAGGGAAGACAAGATCAGAAAAGGCATGATTGCTATCTTCAAGTCCTTAAAATGTTGTCAAGTAGGAGAGGGATTAGATTTGTTCTGCGTCATATAAAAAAGCCAGGAAGTAGAAGCAGTAAGTGGAAGTTGCCAAAAAGTTGCCTAAAGGAGCTATCCAAGAGTGGAACTGCTCACCTTGGAAGTCGTCAATAGAAGGCTAGACAGCCTCTTGATGGATGTGTTATGACAGAAATTCTATCAGGCACAGATTGGACTAGATGACCCTGAGGTTTTTTTAACTTTAAAATTATTCTGTGATTCACAAAAGTATTTAGTGAGATCCTTTATTCAAACAGATTGGTGACCTAATCAAGTCTAAATTCCTTCCAGGCATACAGATCACAACTCAACCATACCTCCCCAGCCTGTGTGATTCTTGACCATGTACACTGGAAAGTTCACTAAAGGGGTCAGCCCAACGTATTAGAAGCCTTTCTCTATCCTGACATGAGTATATCAGTAGAGTACTCTGGCTGGTCACCTGTCATCCTTCACTCTCCTATGTGACCACTCTATCTTCTCTTCCTATCATACATTTCATTGATAACATCTTTTACTACTGTTCTTAGGAGTTCCTCATTGGTTATGTTTTAATAGGTAAAACTTATGCAACCAACTTCTACCTACCATGTGCCTTTCAGTTGTCCCTTGTGATATTCCTTTTTAATCTTAGGAAATAATGAGCTTAAAATATGACTTGGTACTTAAAATTTGATGTATAGGCAACTTTTCAAGAATGTATCTATTTCATATTATATGACAATCAACTGTGAATGACAGCTACTCTAAGCAATACAATGATCCAAGATAATTCGAAAGGACTCATGAGGAAAAATGTTCTGTGCCTCCAGAGAGAGAACTGATGGAGTATGAATGCAGACCGAAGCTGTTTTTCACTTTTTAAAAATTTTTTACTTTTCTTTTCATGTTTTTTTCCTTTCAGTCTCTTTTTCATGTTTTTTTTCCTTTCAGTCTCTCTCTTCTTTCACAACATGACTAATATGGAAATGTTTTACATAATTGCACATACATAACCTGTGTCAAATTTTTACTGTTTTAGGGAGGTGGAGGTAAGAGAGGGAGAGAGAAAATTTAGAAGTGAGAATTTTAAAAAATGAATGTCAAAAATTCTCTTTACATGTAATTGGGGGAAAAACCATTTTAAGAAAGAATATATCTATTGCAGATGTAACACCTGCTTGGGATACTTCCCTAATTAGCACTCATTCTTGCAGCCTAGAGGCTTCTAGGGGTAACCCTGTGAGTCTACTTCTAGGCACTATAACTTATGAGCCTCCACCTGTGTGCTTCCCAATAACTAGCAGTCAGTAGACCAAATTAGCTTTTTAATTTTTTTATTCTTAACTTAAACACCATAAAAAGAATGCTTCTATATAAAAGGCCAAATAAAAAAAGAGAATTATATATAAAACCTTGAGGCTCCATTTTACTCTATTCACTTTTTAAAAATTAATTAACACATATTACTTTCAATACTGCCGAGTGTCTGTTTTCTTCTGAATATCCTACTTTCACTACTGTATATTTAAAAATAAATTTTAATGGCCTTTGTGACATAATTTTTGCTAATTTTAGCAAGTTACCCTTCTCTCCCCATAATCTTTCCCCTCTCCCAATTAAAAATAAAGGAAATCTTTTGTATCAAATAAGCATAGTCAAGCAAAACACATATACAATGTGTCCAAGTCCAAAAATCTATGTTTCTGTGTGGCACCTTGAGTCCAACACTTCTCTGTCAGGAGATTCATCCCATGCCTTCAATAGACACTGCTGATCACTGCATTGATTTAAGTCCCTAAGTCTATTTGAACATTTTTATTGCATAATAATATTTCATCATATTAATACACCACAATGTTTCCAACCATTCCCAAGTTAACAGACACCACCACCTTCTAATTTCTGTATCAATTATTTTTCCTTTGTTTTTCTTTTAATTCCCCCTTCAAGATTAGGAAATTTATTTTGATTGCTTCTATTTCCTCTCCAATATTATCTTTATTCTTAACTCCCCCCACCCCCATTCCCACATTTCCCCGTTGAGTTCTTGCATATATGTAAACGTATGTGTGTTCAACTCCCATTTGTCTGGCTGGGATTAGAGTGAGATTCATCTGATGTCTGTCACCCTTCCTGCCACGGTTGTATACTCTTCTTATGTACCTCAATTATTTGAAATAGCTAGTTCCATTCCCTTTTTCCTCCTTTCTCCACTAATGCATTCCTGCCACCTTCCCTTTTCTTTATTCCCTTAAAAATCTTCAGAATCGAATCAATCAGTAGGGCTTCTGTTTTTTCTTATTTAACTCCCTTTGAAGACACTAAGTTTCTGAGGAGGCATTTGTTTCTTCTCCTCCATTAGAATGTTGGTACTACATCATCATTAGGTTACTTCTAATTACTCAAATAAATGTACCTTTCTAGAATTCTCTAAACTCTCGCATTTATATTTTCAAGTTCTTACTTAGTACCAATCTTTTCAGCAGAAATGCTTGAAAGTCTTCTGTTCCATTAACGATATGTTTCCCCCCCATGCCCTGCCTCAAACTCCCCCAGCACCAGGATGATACTCAACTCTGAAAGGTAAGTGATTAGTGGTTGTAAACCCTAAAAGCTCATCTCTGAATTATAGTAGAAGCTTTCAGGATGACCATGATCCTGATTGTGGTTTCTTGGTACTTTCCGGATGCCTACATTTTTTTTTTGAAATGAAACTCTAGATTTTGGCCATTAAGTTCCTGGGATTTTTCCTTCTGAGGTTCCTTTCTATAAGTAATCAGTGGATTCTTCTGGTCTTTATTTTACCCTCTAGTTCTAACAGATCTGTGCAGTTTTCATTTATGAAATGACATGGCCAAAGGAGAAGAGGAGAAAAAAAATCCCTTCCTCCATTATTGCTCTAGGTACATGGGTCTCCTACACAATCGCCTTTCACTCTATACAACTGCTGCACGGCTTCTTTTTCTTTCTTTTTTTAAATTGGACCAAGGGTCACAACTGATTCTTTCAGCCAATCATTGGAGTACCTTGTGTGGTATCAGTTGCCCAGCTGCCTTCACTGAGAGCCAGGTTCTATAATCTTCTCAAGTTAAGAAACTTCTCACTTTTTTGTGGGATTATATAAAAACTCCTCAGCACTTCGTGAGATATTCTGGGCTTTCTGTGACTACATCAACTGAGGGTAAGGGAGACACTCTCCCTCTTGCACAGCTATAGCTTTGTCATTTTTACCTTTTTTTTTTAAGGTAATTGGGGTTAAGTGACTTGCCCAGGGTCACACAGCTAGAAAGTATCAAGTGTTTGGTCTGAGGCCAGATTTGAACTCAGGTCTTCCTAACTTCAGGGCCGGTGCTCTATCCACTGCACTACCTAGCTGCCCCTTTGTCATTTTAACATGAGGCAATATGAGTAACAAAAATATAAACTTGGAGTAAAAGGAAACTGGGAATAATCTAGAAAGACTGATATGAGAAAATAGTCAATTTTAGCTGTGGCCTTCTGGGAAAATAAAAAGGATTGACATATCGGATTTGCATGCTGTCAATAAAAAGGAAGTAATTTTTTTTTTCTGTCAGATTTTCCAAGCATGTTATAATGAAAAAAGGAACTGCAGTCAGAAAGTGATCTTTTCCAAATAAGCAATGCAGAAAAGATTTCTTCTTGTATACTACTTGTATACCAGTCATACTCACATACAGATGTGACAAGCACTGATGATGTCATTATTTTGGCCATTTATATGATGCTTTCACACTACAAGTGATTTCATACACATTATCTCATTTCATATTCCTAAAATGCTTGGAGAACAATTATTAACTTCATTTCACATATGAGGAAATGGAGATATCAGAGATGTTTCTACCCAGCTTTTTAAATTCTGTTGCCAATCTTATTCCCACTATCATACATGCTTTTTGGATAAGAACAGAAATTCTATAGAGAAGAGTTTCCATATAATATTTCCATGGAAGAAAAGCAGAATAGCACAGAATATAAGCTTATTTTGTTATATCAAGCTTTTATTGTGTCACTGTATGCCATTGTTATGTTTAGGAAACACTTGATTTGACCTATGGTATGTCAGCACTTTGTTACTGCATGTGTTAACATGAACTGGGGATGGTTTTACTAAGACCTAGGAAAGTTTTTGGTATAGTTACCATAACAAATTTAAAAAAAACATTTACAAGATTTAACTAGTTCATTCTAGCTTTGCAGAAAAATGTATAAGAAAGTGGGCCTCTTCTTGTCCTTATTTCCCTCTTCTTTGCCTATCTGACTGCCTTCCAAGTATTCTACTGAGAATCTCCGGGGTTACTCCTGCATAGGCTTTGCTGCTATGTTAATCTCTAGATTTGAACTCACACAGATTTCACTGGCTAAGTCCGTTAAGGTTCTCAATCATTAGAGACATCACCTCAATAACCTCAGTTGTGGATTTCAGACCGCCAGCAGCAGCTTCAAGGCTTCAAGACTAAAAGGGTCTAATCTTGTCAATCACAGACCATTAGAAACACTGTTCTTGTTCCCAGTCTTCTCTAATCAAGAGGAACATGCCACTATTTGGCAGCTGGAGGTTAGCATGCCCACGCTGATTCAAGAAGTCACCTCCCAGAAAGACCAACGGCTCCAGCTTCAGAAGCTGTTTCACGCTGAATGAATTCTTTCTGTCTTGACTGGTTTATTGAAGCGACTTTTTTCCATGGATGCTTCTGACCTGTGCAGGGAGCTGCCTCCTTTACTCTAGTTTCCTAGCCAGGTACCTCAGTGCCCTTCCCTATGGAGGCCACAGAGCTTACAGACAGTGTTAAACAGCTGTGATTTCCTCTGGTGACAGCTGAACCTCAGTGTTACTTGTCAATGTGGGTTCCCCTCCATACTAGTTTCTCTTTTCCTGTTCTAGTCTCCAGCCTCTGGTTGATCTCTCCAGGATCTCAGGATACTGGTAGAGGCCACTGAAGAGCTCAAATCTTTTCCTGGCACAAAAAGCTACTCTACCTTGGGATCAAATTGTTATGTTCCCCACTCCTTACATTTCTAACCCTAGGAGACTAGAATCCAGGTTTACAATTAGAAAGATTTTAAACATACAGAAAAGTTACAGCCCTACCAATTAACTATAGAATAATGGCTTTACATAAATATAAATTAAAGACTACTTTCCCACTCTAATGACTAGTTTTTTAATCGACTGACCATTTGCTTTCATATGTTCTTAAAATATTTCTGTGATTTATATGAAAAACTTGGTAGAAAAATATTAATAAAATTTAAATAATGTCTGATGTGTTACAATAGAAGCAGTGGTACAGAGACAAAATATATGTTATTCTTAAGAGAATATTATTCAAAGTAGGTAGGAATATAATAGAAATAATTTTGCTATAAATTAAGCTACAATATAATTTTAACTTAATACGATGCATTCTCTGAACTGAAGGAAACAGATCATGCAGATCATAATCAATGAAAGCACTTTCTGAAGGTTTAAATCAAAGGTGGTACTTCAAGGTTATCTTCAAAGTCCGGGTCTTCAGCACAGGGTACAACCTGAGGTTTAGCTTGGATTCGTCCTGAAGTGGTTTTTTTCTCTTGGACTATATTAGTCACATCAGGGAATGAATACTTGCTGGGGTCTACTTCTAGTTTCTCAACTTCTTTGCTTCTATTATAACAACAACAAAAACAAAGAGAAAAATGATTATGGAATCAGAGATTTCCAAAATTATAAGTATATATAAGCTATACATGTTAAGATAACATAATTTAAATAAAAGTTTCAAATATACTCAATCCAATTTAATAATAATGTATTAAATACCCAATTTACAGAAAGCACTGTTCTAAGTTCTGGGGAAGATATCAATTTTAAATAAGAAAGACATAGTTTCTTGCTATCAAAATAATACATTTATATAGTGCTTTAAGATTTACATAGTATTGTTATCTAAGCAATCCCAGGAAATAAGTAGTGCAAATATTATAATTCCTATTTTACAGGTGAGCAAACTGAGGTGAAGTTGTTTGTCCAATATTGCAAAGCTAGAACCAAAATCTCAGAAACCAGTTTTTCAACTACAAGACCAGTAGAGCACATAACCTCATTAGCTTCCAGACTACTAGGGGGAGCCAGCTCAACGAACTCACTCATGAATCGCTTCAAGAGTATGAGCACAGACACCACAAACACATGTGTAGTCAATGAAAGGTGACAATGGGAAGAATATCAGCTCTGTCACTTACTAGCATATGAACCTGGGCAAGACATGGAATCTCCCCGAGCCCGTTTCCTCATCTGTGAAATGATAATGCCATCTCTATCACGTCTACCCTCAAGGGTTATGGTGCGGATTACTCTAAGTGCTATGATACATGTAAACGTGTTTTATAACTGAGTTTAATACAATGATGTACTTTCACTTGAGAATGAGTCTGTGATCTCACTGACGGGCCCTCCAGTGACACAGACCACAGCCCAACCAGACCCTCCCAATCTGTGAGTCTTATCTGTTGTCTGCCATGGATTCTCTAAAGAGAACGTACCCAAGATGCCAGAGATCTTCTAAGTCTTTTTTAAAGATACACTATTTTATTTGTTTAGTTTTCTTTAGATTTTTCCAATTACATGTAAAAACAATTTTTTGACATTTGTTGTTGAAAATATTGAATTTGAAATTTTCTCCATCTCTCCTTCCTCTTCCTCCTCCCTGTGAGGGCAAGCAATTTGATACAGATCATACCCATTCCATTGTTATTGTTGAGTCATTTCAGTCATGCCCAACTCTCCGTGACCCATTTGGGGTTTTCTTGGCAATGATACTGGAGTGGTTTGCCATTTCCTTCTTCAGCTCATTTTACAGGTGAGAACAATGAGGCAAACAGGGTTAAGTGACTTGCCCAGGGTCACAAAGCCCATAAGTGTCTGAGGCCAGATCTGAGCTCAGGTTCTCCTGACTCCAGGTAAAGCACTCTAACCACAGTGCCATCCAGCTGCCCCAAATTATACATGCATAGCCATGCAAAACATCTTTCCATATCAGTTATATTGTGGGGAAAAAAAAAACCACAGACAAAAATAGGCAAAAAAAAGGTAGAAAATAGTACACTTCAATCTACGTTCAGACTACATCAATTATTTCTCTGGAGGCGGACAGCTTTTTTCATCATGAGTTTTCAGAATTGTTTTGGATAATTGTATTGCTGAGAATAGCTAAGCCATTCACAGCTGATCATCTTATACTATTGCTGTTACTATGTACACTCTTCTGGTTCTACTCACTTCACTTTGCATCAGTTCATATAAGTTTCCAGGTTTTTCTAAAAGCATGCTGCTCATCATTTCTTATAGCATAATAGCATTCCAGAACAATCATGTAACACAACTTGTTCAGTCATCCCCCAACTGATGGGCATCTTCTCAAATTTCAATTCTTTGCCACCAAAAAAAGAGCTGCTATGGATATTTTTGTACATGTAGGTCTTTTTCCTTTTTTAATGTCTTTGGGATACAAGTCTAGTAATAGTTTTTGTCAAAGAGCATACACAGTTTTATAGCCCTTTGGAAATAATTCAAAATTGCCCTAGAGAGGGGTTGGATAAGTTCACAACTCCACAGTGCATCAGTGTCCCAATATTCCCACATCTCCTCCAATATTTGTCATTTTCCTTTTCTGTCATATTAGCCAGTCATATCCATGTGAGATGGTACTTCATAGTTGTTTTAATTCATATTTCTCAAATCAATAGTGATTAAGAGCATTTTTTTCATATGCTATAGATAAGCCTTGATTTCATCATCTGAAAACTGCCTATTTATATCCTTTGACCATTTATTAACTGGGGGATGACATGTATTCTTATAAATTTGATTCAGTTCTCTATATATTTGAAAAAAATGAGGTCTTTATCAGAGAAACTTGCTGTAATTTTTTTTCAGTTATGATTACTGTGTATTTTCTTCCATTCTGCACTTCCTCCATTTATTCTCCTCTCTCTCTCTCTCTCTCTCTCTCTCTCTCTCTCTCTCTCTCTCTCTCTCTCTCTCTCTCTCTCTCTCTCTCTCTCTCCTTTCACCCTGTATCTTCTCAAAATTGTTTTGCTTCTGACCATCACCTACCCCAATCCACCTTCCCCTTCCATCAGCACCCACCTCTTAAATCTTTCCCCTAGGGTAAGATAGATTTTTAAACTCCACTACATGTGTTTATTATTCCTGCTTTGAGCCATTTATGATGAGAGTAAGGTTCAAGCCTTGCCCACCCCCTTTCCATGTTCCCCTCCATTATAAAAGCTCGAGATTCTTTTATGTGAAGGATTACATTCAGTTTTTCTGGGTAGGTGATTCTTGATTGTAATCCTAATTCCTTTGCCCTCTGGAATATCATATCCCAAGCTCTCTAATCCTTTAATGTAGAAGCTGCTAAATCTTGTGTTATTCTGACTGTGGCTCCACAGTATTTGAATTGTTTCTTTCTGGCTAATTGCAATAGTTTCTCCTTGACCTGAGGGCTCCAGAATTTATCTATAAAATACCTGGGAGTTTTCATTTTGGGATCTCTTTCAGGAAGTGATTGGTAGATTCTTTCAACTTCATTTGTCCCCTCCTGGATCTAAGATATGAGGGCAGTTTTCTTTGATAATTTCCTGAAATATGATGTCTAGGCTCTTTTTTTGGATCATGGCTTTCAGCTAATTCAATTATCTTACATTATCTCTCCTCAATCCATTTTCTAGGACAGTTATTTTTATTTTGCATTTTCTCTATTTTTTTCATTTTTAAAAATTTTGTTTTATTGTTTCTCAATGTCTCATAGAGTCATTAGTTTCCACTTGCCAAATTCTAATTTTTAAGAAATTATTTAGTGAGCTTTTGTACTTCCTTTTCCATTTGGCAAATTCTACTTTTTAAGGTATTCTTTTCTTCAGTGAATTTTTGTGCCTCTTTTGCCATTTGCCTATTCTGTTTTTTAAGGTGTTATTTTTGTCAGGATTTTTTGTGCCTCCTTTACCAAGCTATTGATTTTTTTCATGGTTTTCTTACAGCACTCTTATTAATTTTCTTATTTTTTCCTCTACCTCTCTTATTTGATTTTTAAAATTCTTTTTTAGTTTTTCCAGGAATTCTTTTTGGGCATGAGATCAATTAATATTTTTCTTTGAGGCTTTTCTTTGTAGCTGTTTTGACTTTGTTGTCTTCTTCCGAGTTTGTGTTTTGACCTTCCCAGTCACCATAATAATTTTCTATAGTAATTTTGTTCTTTGTTCATTTACCTGGCCTATTTCTTGACTTTTAACTTTATGTTAAAGTTGGGCTTTGCTCCTTGGGTGGAGGGGGCACTGTTCCAAATTTCTTGCTGCTGCTTTCAGAGCTAGTTCTGGGGGTCTGCAAGTTTTCAGTCCTTTCAAGGTAGTATGGTCTAAGGAGAGGTGTGATCATTGCTCTCTTGGCCTCTGGTCTGGTCTATGAGCAACCATGAGCATTCTTTCATGCTTTGGAACTGTGATTAGGGTCCCTGTTCACCTGCTGTCATATAATGCAACACACTAGTGCTCCTTCTTGCCCTGGAACTGTGACTAGGAACCATGTATGGGTAACCATGTAACAGAGTCCTGCAACCAGTGCCAGTAAAAGGTCCCCTGTAATCTCCTGCTGACCAACTGTCTGACCCCCTTACCATTTGTAAGCTCAGAATTTCCGAAGCCGCTGCTGCCAATTCGGTCACCCACAAGGCCTACTGCTCCCCTTCTCATGTTTTCAACAGGGACATCTCATCTCCTTCCTTCTCCTTTGGCAGTTTGCCCTGGTAATCATCTTCCCCTCTAATTTTCAAACTCTCAATATCTTCTGTTTCTTTTCCCAAATGCTACAGTTATGCTCAGATATCTCCTTTAAAAAGTGTCAGTTATTGCCTCATACTTTAAAAAATGTTCAATTTGTCTTATTATCACTTCAAGCTATCATCCTCTATCTCTCATCCCTTTCACAATCAGACTCCTAAAAAACACTCCATTCCTCCCCTCCATTTCTTCTCTTCTCCCTCAGTTCTCAATTGTTTTGCAATCGACTTCCAACTTCATCCCTGCACAGAAATGTCTCTCTCCAAGGTCACCAGTAATCTCTGAACTGCCAAACGTAGTGGCCTCTTTTTAGCGTGAACCCTTATTGAACTCTCTGTAGAATCTGACACTTCTGGTCGCCCTCTTCTTCCTGGATACTTTTTCTTTTTTTTAGTTTTCATGATGCTTCTCTCCTGAGTCTTGCCCTATATGCCTCGTCATTGCTTTTCAGCCTCCTTTGGTGGATCATACTCCATGTTCCATCCCTTTTGTGTGCTGCCATCTCTAGGGCCCTGTGCCACGCCCCCTTTCTCTTTAAACTCCATGTTTCGGCGCAATAAAAAGTCACCGTGTATTCAACTATCATCACTAGGCAAATGACTCCCAAATCAATCTATATATCTATCTATACATCTACACATCTAGCCCTAGTCTGTCTCCTGAATGATCAATTTTGTTTTCAAACTATAGTCATCTTAAATTCAAAATGTCCAAAACAGAATTCATTTCTTATCTTCCTCCCACTTCCCCCATTCTCTTCCAAAATCCCCTCTTTTGTTTTGCTTTGTTTTTGGATTTTTGGTGAGGCAATCAGGGTTATAGCTCAGGGTCACACAGTTAGTAAGTGTCAAAGCGTCAAGTGTCTGAAGCCAGATTTGAATTCAGGTCCTCCTCCAAGGCCAGAGTTCTATGCACTGCACCACCTAGCTGCCCCTACAACTCTCATTTCTTTTCTTTTCTTTTCTTTTTTTTCCTTTTTTTGGCATGAGGCAATCAGGGTTAAGTGACTTGCCCAGGGTCACACAGCTAGTGAGTGTCAAGTGTCTGAGGCCAGATTTGAACTCAAGTCCTCCTGACTCCAGGCCCAGTGCTTTATCCACCATGTCACCTAGCTGCCCCCCCAATTCCTTATTTTGACTGACAGAACTACCATCCTTCTAGCAAACCACTTTCACAACTTCGGACTCATCTATGTATTTTTTCTCATCTTCTCCCCTGTCCCTAACTAATCAGTTACTAAGCCTTGCCAATACTTCTCCTTTCTTGGCATGGCATAGTGGAATGAATGTCAGTTTTAGAATCAGAGGACCTCAGTCTGAATCTTGGCTCTACTATTATACTACCATTTAGAAGATACAAGGACTGGACAGTGATTTCACTGTATAGGGAAGTTGTGGGTAAAGAATCTGCCTCTATCAATGTAGGCGAACATTTTCTCTGCAACTTAGAAAGTTAACTATAGCTCAGAGAGGTTAGAATTCTTGCCTAGGAAAACAGAGCAAGATATGAGGTACTCTTCACTTTGAGACAATAACTGACACTAAGCACTTTAAGATTTACAAAGTGTGGGCAGCTAGGTGGCACAGTGGATAGAGCACTGGCCCTGAACTCAGGAGAACCTGAGTTCAAATCCGGCCTCAGACCAAACACTTGACACTAGCTGTGTGACCCTAGGCAAGTCATTTAATCCCAATTGCCTAAAAATATAAAAAAAAAAAATTTAAAGATTTACAAAGTGTTTTATGTACATTATCTCATTTGATTCTCACAATAATCCTGAAAGGTAAACACTAAACTACTATTAGCTCCATGTTAAAGGTGTGGAAACTGAAGCCCAGAAAAGTAAGATGACTTGTCCGTGACAAGACATCAAATACATAGCAGGACCAGACCATCTGACTCAAAGGGCAGCATGGTTTCCAAGACACTGATATCTGAAGCATCCTTTTGGGTTAGGGGATCAGAGAGAACAGTTGTCACTTCTTAATTTAGTCCACAGACTTCATTTTCCACCACCTGTTTCTGGTTCCCTTTTCTCCCTTGGCCTGTCAATCCTTTAACCAGCCTAAATTTCTCACCGGCAGACATCCATGCCTACAGCGTGCATATCATGTTGTCCAGGAAGAGGCAATGATAATAACAATAAAATATCTCCTTCTAAATGATCAAGCACCATATATAGCCTAGACAAAGACACCTTGTACATGGTGAAAAGTGATTACCGCACTATCGAGTAATCAAGCTGACAGAGCACAAAAGGCAACAGTATGGTTAAGGAGGTCATGCATAGCTTCAACAATCTTACTGAGATTCTGTAAGCCATAAGTGTAATCACTGCAGTAAATGGAGGCCCTGTTATCAGCAAGCCAGGCTCCTAATGATTTTGATTACCTAAACTATTACTTTTAAGACTCAAAGTTGACACCCCTTCTGCATATTGCTACTTCTTCCTGTAGTTAATCCTTTGCAGTGGTATTCAGCTATGATGAACTGGATTTCTTGTAATTTACACATGTAGTTGGAATTTAAATTGCTGTGTTGAAAAAAAAGAAAAGAAAAACCCTGTTTAACTGATTGGGGGGGGTAGGGAGATTACATTTTGTCTAAGAACAAAGACCATAACTATAGTTTAAACAAACCTCCTCTTTGGAAGTCATTGCACAGACTCAGTTGCCTTTAATCAGAGATATGCCCAACTCCTTGAATGTGCTATATCAGAAACATAAATATAGCTTACTCTTTTCTGTGGCTACAATATTGGCATAGACATTTTAAAGGTATGCGCTGATGGTGGGAAATCTGAGGACTTTAAGCAGGTCTATGTACTCTTCTTCTGGGGCCACTGCAACCAGTACCTTTATGAACCAACACAACTGTCAAGTCTCAGGCTTATCAGACAAATTTTACTATTTATAGCAATATCATTTGTTATTTTTCTTTCATAATTACAGAATGGTTAAACAGTAACATCCTCACTTCAAATTGAAATGGAAAGAAGTAAACTAAGGTTTCAAATAAGAAATGTTACCCTTTCTTTTCTTGCAATTTGTTTCCTTCTGGATTTTTCACAGGCTTACATGCTTTTCTCTTAGCCACAATTACTTCTCCTACCTGAAACAAGGAAAAATAACAGTAAGTGCCATGTTATTTCCTGATCTATCTTCCAAAACTGCACATGATGTGTTTGTGTGTGTGTGCGTGTGCACATTTAAAGATTATTAAACATTAATACATTTTTAGCTAATAGGACACAAAAGAATCCCATTTTAAACTTTGCTATGTTTAAACAAAACAAGTAAAACAAGCTTTTTTTTTCAACAAAGTAAGGCAAAACTGAATAGCTTCTGTGAGACTTGAGCTCAAGACCCTTAATTATGAGATAGATGACCTGTCTCTGTACAGAAAAATGGCATAAAACATCATCCTGACAATGAATGATAGAAAAAAGACTGGTTTGTCATATAGAAAGAACAGTAAATAACAGCAGTGGTCTGACCAGGACAGAGCACGTACAGTAGGACTACTACCTCTGGACCATCAATTATCACCTTCCTGGAGATAAATTCAAAATCTACATATCCAACCCAAATGTCTTCCCCTAGCATCATCCTCACATTTGCAGCTACCTGTTTGTCATTTCCACTTGGATGTTTAAATGGAAACTCAAACCTAACATGTTCCAATTCATCGGTTTCCCCCCCAAAACCTACTTCTTCTAATTTACCTATTTTTATTGATGCCATCAAAATCTTTCTAACCAAAAAGGCTGAATTCCAAGGAATCTCTGTTTCATCCAATCACCTGCTAAATTGTGCCTACTCTATTTTCAGAATCTCTCAAGTCCATACGTTCTTCTCCACCCATAATGCTAAAACTCTAGCTCAAGTCATCTTCTTTTCCTGTTTGGACTACAGTTTGGACCAGTAGCAGACTAACTGGTCTCTCTGACTTCCACCACTTACCACATTAATCCTTCGCAAAGATGTCAAGATAATCTTCCTAAAGCATAGTACTCACTGGGATACCGCCATGCTCAAAAAACATTAATATCCATAGGATGAAACAGAAACTTCTTAGCCTGGCACTGAAGACTTTTCACCATCCTGCTCCAACCTACTTTTCTGGCCTTATTCACAGTAATCTCTTTTTATTCACTCTATATTTTATATTCACTCTATATTGTAGCCACACTGGACTATCAGTTCTTTGATTTCATCCCACACTCTCTTACTTCTATATATCTAGGCAGATTTTCTTAGCCCTCACATCTGGAATTTACAATTGCCTCATCTCTTCCTGCTTAAATCCTTCTCCTTCCAATGCCCAAATGAAGTACCATCTATTGTTTACTGAAAACTAAGATAGTTAAGTAGATAAGAAGAAATTGAAGATGAGAAGGAAAGGAATATTGAGATTGCCCTTGGAGAAAGCGGGAGGGGATAAGATCAAAGACTCACCTAAAGGGGTTGGCTTTGGCAAGGAGAGGGCACTCTATTGTCAGAAGTAGAAGGACAAGAGGAAAGATTGGAAGACGATGTTTAGAGGTTTTGAGATGAAAATGAGGGTAGAAGAGAGAGCTTACATCAAATATCCTCAATTTTTTTCACTAAAGTAAAAGGCAATGGCATTGGCTTGCAGAGGGGAAAGTACAAGAGATTTAGAATAGTTTTTGAAGGCAGTGAGGCAGGGAATACATTAAGCAGAAATGTCAGGGAATATCTGAGTGGGAAGTTGAGAGTGTTTCCCTACAGAGGAAGTCCAAATCACAAGGTAAAACCATATATCTGGATATTTGTGCAGTCTCCAGGGTAAGTGGAACTTAACAAAATTTCTGGAGAATTGCTCTGGTAGCAACTCCAAGTCAGTTTCAATTACTAAGAGGAGTCCAAACCATAGTATTATACTATGGACATAGAGGATTTTATGACTCTGAAAGGTGGAACTTATTGGGAAAAGAGAATGTTACCAGTTACTATCATGCCATTTTTAGTTACTGAAGTATTTTTGTACATCATGTGAGACAGAATAAAGGCTGTTCTGTGCCCAATATATGCATCATTACTTTGAGTGCTTGCATGGGATCTAGATATCCCAGAATCTTTCCACATGGAGAGGCTAGGGAGCTTACTTCTAAGAGAATCCAAAATCTTGGTGACACCAAGGTGCCTTGGAGAGACTGTAGAGCATGCACAGATATTGTTCATGCCAGCTAACTTTGTTTTGAAGAAGAGGCTCTTAGATGGGCTGCAGAGGCATCTGTCATAAGCATACCTGTCAGTATCAGCCAGATCCATATTTGCTTCAGTCACTCTTTCACTAAAAAAGTCAGGAAAGAATTCATGTGGTAAGAGACCTTCAGGATTCCTCCCTTCTGAGGCCACATGGCCCCCCAAAACAGGTCTTGATTTTTGGCTTTTTCATTTGTTCTTTTCCATTCCAGGTGAGACTGACGCATATGGAAGGTGCTTCAGCACCCCAGCATTCCAGGCTGGGTTCTACAGCCAGCCCCAAACTGATGTCTCAAGTAGCAACGAGTGACCTTCTGGACCTATGCCAGTGGAGGTTGAAATGACCTATCTGACAGAGATATCATCTTTGGATATGAACTTGATGGGACCAGTATTAGGTATGAACTTAGTGCATACCTAATAGGAACTCAACTTAGTTGAGCCTACTGTGCCCCCAGCCAGATTGAGATGGCATAAGGGACAGTTGCTCCCAAGATATTGGGGGAAATGCTTCTAACTTTATTCTTGTTATATCTTTGAAATAAATATAGTTTTGTAAAAACTTATTAATGCTAAGTGCTTAAATGGAACTGGAGTAAGAATCACTGGCCTCTAATAATTGGTGGAACACAATCAGTGGGTCTCAAGGTAATTGCAATAGAGGGGAGAAATAGATAAATATCAAAGGGTTATCCCTTGGAATTTTGAGGGGAGATATACCCTGGCTGGCTCTGAAAGAGGGCCAGAACATACACAGTACACATATATTTAGAGGCCTACACACAAGTCATACTTAGGCTAAAGTCTAATATTTTCTAGATCAAAGTAGGAATGCAGGCAAAAGGAGCCAAAAGGAGAGTGATGACAGGCAGGGGGGGAGGTAAGCAATCCCAAAACTTGACCTAGTCCACGTGAGCCCAGCTCTTAGGTTGCTAGACGATGGTTTACATTCATATTATCACAAAATCACAGAATCACATAACTTAAGAGAAGAAAAGGACCTCTGTAGCCATCTCCCCAATCCATGTACAAAAAAAATCCCTGCTAGAAATACCTGACAAATAGTCATCTAGACTCTCTTCTTGAAGCCCTCCAAAGAGGTAGCCCATTTCAGTTCGGCCAGCTCTAACTGTTAGGAAGGGTTGTTCTGTTTTGTTATGATTTTTCCTGACAGCAAGTCCAAATGTGCCTCTTTGCAAGCCTAAGTTTGCCTCTTTGCACTACGTTACAGGCAACTGACTCACATCATTTTTCTCTCCATTGACCTTAAAGCAACCTTCAATATTGATTCTTTAGGGATTAGGGGCTTATACGATTTGCAGCCACATAACATGCAGAATATTGATGATATAAAGATTTTGCATGTGTTTCTTTCAGGGAAGACCTTTGAATTGTTGAGATTTACAAAAGAATGCCAGAGGGAGGAGATTCAGAAGTCTTATAGTCCAATCCCTACATGAAGCATAAATCCTACCAACTACATAGCTGAAAAAAAGCCAACCAACCCTTCTTGAAGACCTTCACTGACAGACAGTGACCACCTTTTGAGATAACCCATTCCACTTTCGTAAAGCTCTCATTTTAGGATGTTTTCCTTAAATCAAGACCGTATCTGCTTCACTAAAACTTCCACCCCTTGCTGGTAGTTCTGTCCTAAAGGGTCGATCATAAGAGGTCTAATCACTCTTCCTGATTATGACCTTTAACAAATTGAAAGACAGTTAAATACTCTCAAGCCATTCGTTTTAACAATATATTTTAAAATTTGCTAGGAATTTAATTGAATTTGTTCATTCATCTGTATTTTAAAGACTACATTTTTTAAGAATAGTCTTTTTGAAAATCTTTTTTTAGGGAGGGAGGAACCAAGATGGCATAGAAAAAGCCAAGAAGTTGCCTGAGCTCTTCCCAGTTTCCTTTGGGAAAAAAAAAAAAATTAAATCACGCCTCTAAATTCATTTGGAGCAACAGAAACTATAAAAAAATGAAGCAAAATAATTTTCCAGCTTAAGATAACTTAGAAAGACTTCAGGAAGTGTCTGTCTCACTTGGGTAAATGGGGAGTGCAGCCCAGTGCAGTGGTGTTAGGGCAAGCCAGAGGGAAGCTCTTAGCCACAGCACAAATCAACAACTGGTGCCCCTCAGTCTTGGCTCATCAGACCAGTGGCATAGCAGGTGAGCCACAAGGCCTCTAGCTCCAGTATAGAAGGCAAATTGCCAGGCCCAGAACCCAAATGACAACAGGCATGACTAGGCCAGGCCACCTCAGCATAGTGAGCAAGCCACGAGCACCTGAAGAATCATCGGACTGCCTGAAAGTCATGATCAAAAAAAGAGGCTGGCCAGCATCTTCCAAGAAATCATCAAAGAAAATTGCTGTGATATCCTAGAACCAGAGGAAAAAACAGTAACTGAAAGAATCCACCAATCACCTGCTGAAAGAGATACCAAAGTGAAAAATTCCAAGGAATATTGTAGCCAAATTCCAGACCTATCAAATCAAAGAGAAAACACTACAAGCAGCCAGAAAGAAAAAAAAATTCAAATATCAAGGAACCACAGTCAGTATTATATAGGACTTAGGAGCTTCTACATTAAAAGATCAGAGGGCTTGGAATATGATACTCCAGAAGGCAAAGGAGCTTGGATTACAATCCAGAATCAAATACCCCGCAAAACTGAGCATAATCTTTCAGGGGAAAAGCTGGATATTCAATGAAATAGGGGACCTTCAAACTTTCCTAATGAAAAAAAAAAACAGAGCTGAACAGAAAATCTAATCATCAAATACAAGACTCAAGAGAAGCATAAAAAGGTAAAGAAGAAAAAATTAAATAAGGTTAAATTGTACAAGGGGTGAAAAAAAGGATTATACTGGGAGAA